CTAATCCTTCATCACCTTAATCTAGATTGGATGAATATAACTTTTATGTAAGGTCCTCGAGTAGTCTAAAAAGCATTTTTTTATTGGGAAACTAAGTAACGCAGTCGACGGTAATAACAAATACAGAATAATTTTCCCACAATGAAATGAGTTGAGCTGACGTTTCCATTGAATTTCACACAGCCTTGCTTTCCCAAAAGTTGTTCTCATCCAGGCTCAAGTAGACTGCACTTTCGACCTGGATGAGAACAACTTTTGGGAAAGAAAGGCTGTGTGAAATTGAATGGAAACGTCAGCTCTACTCATATCATTGTGGGAAAGTCCTTCTTCTACCAGTCCTTCATCACCTTAATCGAAATTGGGTGAATACATGTCATATTGAAGAATACTAGTTAAATTTTCCCACAATCAGATGAATAGACCTCACGATATCATCGAATTCAACTTAGTCTTGATTCCCAAAAGTTATTCCCATCCAGAGTGGACAACATTTTTGAACTGGCCTCAGCGTTGCTCATCTCCAAGCCGAGCGGAATTCGATAGCGCGTCATGGGCATAGTTACCACTTCACTGCATGGCCAGGTATCGAATCTCGGTATGGTTTTGATGAGATTGACAAAGTCAGTATTCAGGAATTACTGATAATCTCTGAAGCTACTCATAAGTAAAGTAAGTGATGGAAATTATGCTCCCTATATTCTGGCATCTCTTGTGATGATGACTCTCTGAGTGGTCAAAAATAAAGCCATCCTCAAAATAAATGAAGATTTTCCATTTCTTTACTTTAGATTATAAAAATGCAGATTATCCTGATTTTCTTGTGTCTGCAACTTTATAAATAAATGCTCTATGAATATCTGTAAGGATGTATACGTAAATTATCCTCTTTAGCAAGTCTAGCTAAGCTTAGATAATTAAACGAATAGTACATTTTTGTGGATGTAGCTAAATTCCCTGCAATTATTAGATTTTTTGGTCCGTTCTGAGAAATGTTGTGAAAAAATCAAAATATCGAATGTGGGAAATATATGAAGAAATTTTGCCATGAGCATATACATATATACCCCATTATGTATGTGTATACGTGCATGCGATGGTGGAAGACAAGAAATGGACAAATGTAAAGTCCTCTAGTATTCAACATTATCAATGAGATTTACAAGAGCTATCTTCCGTACAGAAGTACAAATGCTCAACTTATTCTCCACAAGAAATGATAATAATTGAGGGAATGTCAGAATGATCACTTATTTGCGGGAATTTGTACAAAAACGAACTAGGTTGTCGGTGAATTCTTCCTATTTGCCTGCCTAAGCAATGACTCTGTGCATCATACTTCAATAAGACCGAAGAAAGACTATTGACGAGGCCTATTTCTGAGGGGACTAGGTGGACAAATCTTTCGTTTATATACAGTTTTTCGAGACGAATAAATTATTTTTTTTCGCTGTAGTCGACCAAATCGCAAAACACATCGAATGGCACTTCAGGCAACGCTTTGGCTAGTTTGCCTCTTTAGATGGCCCCAGACAAAGAGGACTGCAACCTGAAATAAACAAAATTACTGGATTACAATACTTTCAGTAATTCCAAATAAGGCGATGCAAGAAGTCATATTTTACTTTTTCCCACAGTGAGATGAGTAAGCCATACCATGCCAGTGAATTACACTTATTTCGACCTCGCCATTCTCGATGAAATAGGCTTGTAGGACGCAGGCCTAAGTGAAATGCAATGACATCGTGTGTCCTACTCCTCTCACTTCCGGCAGAACTCAACTATCAGTCGCTATATCACCTTAACCGGGCTAGGTTGACTAAGTTCTCATTTAGAATTTAGGCGATTTATTACAATCACAAAATGACCAATCCGATCGGCTACTGCTCATATTACTCATATACTGGTAGTCTCGAAACTATACTCAAATACGAAAAATACTGATTATGTGTCATTATGGTGAGAGTTTTTGATAAATTTGTGTTTTAATTTGGGCAAAAGTGTTTCCGTTATACATTTCATTGCCTCCCCGATAAATCCGTGCTGAGTCTTTGAGCCTAATTAGCAACAATTTAAGTCATTCTGGGTCGGGTAAGTTCCCAAACTGGGATGACTAGGCCTCAAGATACCAGTCAATTTTACCTAACCCTGAAGATATGAAGACCAAGATGGTGTGGCCTCTGGTATGGTCACAGTCTCCTTTCGATTTATAGAAGCGGTTTGACCTCGTTGTCGCAACTTGGTCTTGTTGTCAGGACGACTATGTAGAACGCACCTAGTCCGAAGTCGTTTGCAATGGTAGTTGTCGTGATTCCCAGCATCAGACAATTCCGGCGAAACGTTTGAGAATGTATCAAGTCCACTGTCAGATGCTGGGAATCATGACAACTAATATGGCAGACGACTTCTGACTAGGTGTGTTCTACTAAGTCACCCTGACAACAAGACCAAGTTGTGACAACGAGGTCAACCCACTTCTATTTACCTAACCTTGCTTCCCGAAATGTGGTTGTGTATGGAATAGATTGCAATTTTGACCCCATCTGAGTCTTATCAACACCCTCAGGAGGGATCGGACCTGAGTAGGACAGCATTTAATTTCATCATCCTACCACTACGCCAGACTATCCCATATGCTAGTTGACCATAGGACAGCAGTATGTTTACTCTGGGCTCCTGCATACATTTTATAAATATATAAAAAATGAAAATGATAGAGTACCCAAAAAAAATATCTACAAGGACTTGGCTTATTTTGGTATCAGTTTAGGTGTGATCTAAATCGACCTCCGAGTCAGAACAGAATTTTCGTCGATTCAGCAGTACTCAATCAATGGGGATGAAGCCGAGTTATGCTTCAACGATGAGGAGAAGGCATGCCATTACGTACCAAGACAGAACCATTAGCTCTTATACGTGCACGAAAACTCATGCTTGCAAAATGGTTTTCGGGATACCGGACGGCATTTGTGTGTTGGCCCTAATGTTTAAAAAAAAATTAAGTATTGTTTTCGTGACGACCAGTAAATCAGTAGTATGAGATGTATTCACCCAATTTCGTTTGAGGTGATGAAGGACTGGTAGCAGAAGAATTTTCCCACAACGTTTCTATTGAATTTATATTCTATTGAGTTTATATACCACTTTTAGGAATTTACTCTGGATAAGAACAACAAA